ACCACTCCCTGAGTGCAACCATCCATCCAGCTCTATCCATCAAGCAGTCCCATGATAGGTCCCTTGGCTTTAATTGTAAAAATCATATGCCCTAACTGTGAATCAGAGACCTCAGTTAAAAAGAGCCCTACCAAAAGAAAAAAAAAAACAACTAACTGTATTTTTAATTAATAATTTGTATTTTTAAATAGAACGCAGTGCTTGTATTATGCCATTAAAATCTAGCAGGTATAACAAGCAATACAAAGCCAGAAATCATCTTTATAAGGGGTTCATATGTCTCCAAGTGATTAAACACTTCTACTTCAAACCATAACAAATTAGAACAGTTGGAGTCCAAGACAGGATAATGACTCAGGTGTTCTCCACATCTATTTTTCTGAGTTAACCTTTCCTTAAGCAAAAAGAATTATATACTTGAGCTTTCCCAAAAGAACATGCTTCCTAAACAATCATTCATCACTTTCCTGATGCCTGTCTTCTGCAGCTGATATAACTGGCTTCTGAACGTTACTGAGTCTTAACATTTAAAACCCTACCGTGACTTGGCCCCCGGCTGTTTCGTGGTGTGTTTGGTAAGGCCTCCGTCAGCCAGGAACCTTTCTGGTCAGCATCCTGGCATCAGCAGGATCAGCAGGGAATGGTTGGTATGGATCGACGTCTGGCAGTAGGGAGGTGGGGGGCAAGCATGGCGTGGAGTGGGTTCTGGATCTGTGCATCCTCTACAGTAGGGATTGTTCGATTTGAACATCTACGGGGATTTCCAGGTGGCTGTGGAGTGTAGTGTGGCAAGCACTGGCTCTTCCACGGAGCTGGGAGCACTGGTTATTCCCATGTATTACCAGAAAGGGAAAACTTGCAGGGAAGGGCCGAGAGGAAGTAAAACTGCAGGAGAAGTTGTTGTAGTGCCTACACCTTTACTATTACAATGCGTCCAGCATTGCTGTTACAGTGTGTAAAACAGACAGCAGCCATCAAGATAAATGTGCTTGGGGAAGGAGTTATTTTGGGATGCTCCCACCGCCAGTAGTTTGATAACTGGGGGACACTTTGCGTTTGGAATGACAGCAGCGGGAGGTATGGTGGATCCTGCTGCACACTGCTGCACTGGAAGAGTCCAGTGCAGAATTCCTGTTTTAAATAGAAGGTGTGAGGAGGGGAAACGCACAGAAAATGAAACATGAGGGCACAGTCTCAGGGTGGAGATGTTTGAGGAAAACGCATAGTCCCACCTTCCTTCCCCCCCCTCCTTCCTTCTGCTGGTCCTGGCTTCCTACGGGCTGCAAGGTCTTTGCGAGGGAAGGCTGAAAACTAAACCTGGTGAGAGCGTTGCAGGAGCCTGGACAGAGCAGGAGGGAATGGAGCTGGAAGTGTGGGGCAGAGTGGAGCTGCGCTGGGACCAGAGCCAGCCCTCCTGGGTGTCATGCAGCTGAATGAAGGCCCCCTGGGGCCTTCTGCAGCATTTCCCGTTTTCCAGAATTATAAAGAGATTTTGCCCCAAAAACATAACGGTTGTTTTCTGCGTCAGTCTGTGCCCTGGACTACCTTAACTCTGCAGCTCTGAGGTGGCGCTCTGCTGTCTTCTCCAGGTCGCACGACGTGCACAGGTTGCAGGTCCGAGGGTCTGAAAGAGCGTGGGGCTCTGCTGCGCCCCACCAGCCACCGCGGGCAGGAAGCGGAGGGGCCCGCTCTCGGCGGGGCGCAAAGGAGCGGAGGGGTGCTTGGATCCTGCTGGGTCAGCGCTGGAAGCTTGGAGGGAAGAGGGAGCTGAGTCTGGTGGGGTGTTACCCGCTCTGCCTTTCAGGGGTGATTTTAGATTGCACTGGGGGTCCTGCCCAACCCAGAGGACTGCACAGGTCTCACCTGATGTCCTGTGCTAAAGTCCATGGCCCTTTGTTGACGTTTTCACAAGTTTTGTGGCCGTTGATGAAGTGAAATATTTGAATGAACAAGATGGAGCAAGTTTGATTTTCGTAGGTCATTGCTACAAGGACAAAGTAAAGATCGTTTAGCTGTGTAACCTGAGAAACGAAACCTTAGAGATACCTCTGCGTGAGTTTCTAGGTTTCTGTCGAGTGACTGCTGTGTATGGTTTGATCTCTGTCATACGTGTAGCAGTGTGTAGGTGTGGTACACGTTTGGTGCTCATGTCCTGGAACACGCACTTACCTGCCATGTAAGCTTTATAATGTTATGAAGTGGTAATGAATGAATTAACCTAACACAAGAAGAGAGGAGTTAGCTTCCTTGCCTTTCAGAACTTAACATGTACAATATACTTAGCGTGCTGGGGTGTACCTGCAGCCTTAGCATCACCATAGTCGGGTCTCGTGGATAGCGGTGAAGTTGTGCAGTCTTACACTTTTCGTTTCACTTTTTCGTTTTTTTATTACCATTTTGGACAGCATCTGATACCTTACATTTTTGTTGAGAAGGAAGAGTGCAGAACGGTGTTTTTTCCTGAAGTGCCAAACTAGAACCATGGCATGTTTTTTCTTCTAGCACAGTAAAATTCAGCCTTATTTCACTCTTGTTATCCTGTGACTATGTTAAAAAAAAAAAGAAAAAGGTTTTCCAGGTGTTTTAACTGAGAATAATTTTGTCTTTAAGCATGCCCGTTGAAGCTAAAAATCCATTTGCTGTTTGGCTGGTTGAAACGGATGCCATCGATACATGGCTGCTTCGTGAGGCCTCCTTTGAGAAGCTCAGCCAGTTAGTTACCCCTGTGGTTTCACATCTGACCCACCGTTTCCTTCTGCAGTGGCTTGTTTGGTTGTGAATCACCAGGGAACGGCGAGTCGGCCAGGCAGGAGCTCCCATGGCCGTAGGTTGTGACACTTCCCTCCCCCCGGCTCGTGTCCCGCAGGAAGCGAGAAAATGCTGTCACCGCACCGCCTCGAGTTAAGGTTTCTGACGGCGTAGTTTGTGTTGCCCAGAGAAGCCATTTGTGGGGTCTTGTCAGTGCTAGAAACCGATATTCGTACGGAACGTGCCCTCTCGGAAGGAGAAGGGGAGGGTTGCCCACACGCACAGAGCCCTGCCTGCCCTCAGCCCTGTCAGCTCTGCGGGAGGCTGGGCTACGCGGCCGGCCCCGCTTCTCTGCTGCTTCTGAGGAGAAACCAGCAGTGAGCATCACGTCCGTGGTGTCGCGGGGGGAAAAAAGGGTGCTTTCCTGTCACACCGTGCTGTTTCAGAATACTGTCTGGGCAGCGCTGTGAACTGCGAGTGAGTATTGCGTACCATAAAGTCCTAGTAGTTTCCTGGATTAGACCAATTAGTGTTTGTTTAGATAATTCAGGGCTTGAATGACTTCCTCTCCGGAAGCCCCAGGACTGAAGCGCTAAGGCGGCACACCTCGGCCGAGCTGCTGTGCCTTTGCTCTGAAAGGCTTCCAGGGGATACTCCCAGCTTCGCAAGTATGGGTGAATTGCAGATCACCTCTTACGTTATTCACACCACTTCTCAGCTACTAACTGCTTGAATTACAGCCTTGATTTTGTGCCGTGTCTATTCTGCGACGATACACGGGTTTGAAGCCTGGAGTTAGAACTTCACAAGGCTCCGTGTGAAGCCTTTAGGGGCTGCGGAGATGAGGGAGGGATATACCGTCTTAGCATCTGTTTTCATTTGCAATTTGGTTTTAGTATGTTCAATATTTGCAGATAAATAACGGGCCAGTAGTGTTTATCTGATGCACCTTCCTTTATGAGTAGGTATCTGCTGCTGCTGAGGAAGAGCTGGGTGGGTTCTGACTCAGATACAAGTGGAGCAATCTTGTCTGTAAGAAGTCATTCCAGTCTTAACAAAATAACTGTAGGAACAAATGAGCCTTGGACATCTGTTTTGCCTTCTTTTTTTCTTTTTCCCAGTACAATTTCCATAGTAGAAAAGCACACACATGGCTGTGCATATGTTGTTTAATCTCTTAAATTGCAATTATAATCAAAAAATGAGGAAGGAAGTCTATGACAAGGAAAGCAAGGCAGAGGGGGAGTTAGGCATATGGGATAGACTGTTATTCTTGACTTCTCCTTCAGGGAATAGCTGTCATTCCCCCTCGCCTGGAAGAGATTATATCGAAGGGATATGCTTCATCCATAATGATGAGATCACCTTTTCTGCTCCTCAGGGAGCTGAAGGTGGTAGAAGGTTTGTTTCCCGCAAGAGCCTGGCAAATACGTTCTAGCAAACAGCAAAAACAAGGGGGTGGGGAAAGGATACCCAAGGGGAGCTAGACGTGCTCTGCCACGGCTGCGTGACACCAGTGGCTGTTTGAATGTTTGGGATATGTGGATTTGTCCTTTCAAAATCGGTTGTGTTTGTTCTCATGCCGCCTTTAGGGGCTTCCAGTGGCAGTTTTCCCTCAAGTGAGATGTGGGAACGTGCAGAACAATCAAGGTTACTTGGCTGAGCTTCAGGTTAAACACCTTGCGCTTGGCTACTCAGCTGTTCAAATAAAGTGACTTTAGTTTCTCCGAATATATAGTCTTTTGTAAGTCTAGCCATGATAGATTTGATATGGTTTGAAGTATTATCTTCAGTGGGGGAAAACCAAATTTGTTGTTGTTATTTTGCAGGTGGCTTCGGGTGAATGCAATGAAGATACTGAGGTTTACAACATTACCCTTAGTACTGGGGATGAGCTCACTTTGATGGGGCAAGCAGAAATCCTTTATGCAAAATCTTCTAAGGAGAAGTCGCGACTGAACACCATCTTCAAAAAAATCGGGAAGCTTAACTCCATCAGTAAGCTAGGCAGAGGGAAAATGCCCTGCCTCATCTGCATGAACCACAGGACCAACGAGAGCATCAGTCTCCCCTTCCAGTGTAAGGGCAAGTTTAGCACCCGCAGCCCGCTGGAGGTGCAGATGCAAGAAGGTGAGCACACGATTCGCAACATAGTCGAAAAGACCAGGCTGCCCGTTAACGTCACCGTGCCAAGTCCTACGCCGAGAAACCCCTATGACCTGCATTTTATCCGTGAAGGGCACAGGTACAAGTTTGTCAACATTCAAACCAAGACTGTGGTGGTGTGTTGCGTGCTTCGTGGCAACAAAGTTATTCCCATGCATTTTCCCTTGCACTTGACGCTGCCGAAATTCGTTCTACCTGACAGTCTGGTGAAGGGGGAGCTGTGGCACGAATCCCTCATCCAGCACTGGTTCAATATATGCCAGGAGCAGTTTGACATAGATGAGTATTCCCGTGCCGTGCGAGATGTGAAAACTGACTGGAACGATGACTGCAAGAGCCCGAAGAAGAGCCGATGCACAGGGCACAGCCACGTGCCCAACTCCCTCAGCTACGCACGGGACGAGCTTACGCAGTCCTTCCACCGGCTCTCGGTGTGCGTCTACGGAAACAACTTGCACGGGAATAGCGAAGTGAACCTCCACGGCTGCAGGGACTTGTGTAATGAGTGGGCCCTGTTTTCTCACGATGCCCTTCAGTACCAGGAGTCTGGCGACAGCAGCAGCGATTACCTTTTTCCTGAAGTCAGTGAGGAATCGATGTTTCTGCCTACAAAACCAGAACTCCCTTACGAAGAGCTGTGGTTGGACCAAGGGTCTGGGAAGGCTGGTGACCAGCCTCTCTCTCGCTCGCTAAGCGAGAAGAACAAATGTGACAACTACAGAGGGTCTTTCCGATCGAAGTGTGGTACCGCATCCCTTCCTGTGCCTGCGGCCGTTGGAGCAACCACAAAGTCTTCAGATGTTTCCCTACCTCCACCTCCAGTGCCTCCCAAATCAGAAGCGGTAAGTCACGGTTGTTTATGTCGGTTTCTTGCTGCTTTTTTTAGCTGGTGAAGAGCTTGCTGGGGGATTTCCTTAGAGAAGACTAGGAGGGCGGGCACGTGGAGGGCAAGGAAACAGTGAGATTCTGGGAGATGTGCAGCTCCAACTAGTTTCCTACCAAGTGTAAGTCATGTCCTAAAAATCACCAGAGGATACTTAATATAACTGATCTAGGAGTTGAATCCTGATCCTTTCAGATGCTATTTATTGGGCTTTTTTTGCTCCCACAAATAAGGCCTAAGAATTGCAAGGTCACTTCCTTCCTGTGCTTTCCACAACACCTCTCCACGTGGCCTACACGTTTGCTTGTGTCTCCTGCCCAAGCATGTGGGGCCTGTCCCCATATGGAACTGCGTCAGGTCCCCTTTGTGCTCAATTAACAGGCCCTGATAATGAGGCCAGATAGAATTGTTGTGGATTTGAAGTGTTTATTAATGAGAGATCGTCTTCTCTGTTATGAGTCTGTGGCGGATTTTGAAGGGTATTTAGTGTCATTGACCTCAAGGAAACTTCATCAAACTAGACCTGAACTAATCGCTCTGTACCGCGTACTGAAAGAAAACATGTTCAGATGGGAAGTCTGGGGAGTTGATAAATGAGCCTTCTAGGGGTCTCGGTTTTAAACAGAGCATGTTTCCTGTCCTAGAGTTTCTAATGAAAACTCGTGGAAGAAATCAATTCTCCAAACCTGAAATGTCATGGAGACTTCAGAGGCAAAAACACAAGCATGTTTTGTCAACAGGAGCTTATGTGGACTGGGTGGAAAATCCAACGATTATGCGATCTCTTGACGTAGTCCTAAATGTTATTTTAAAAAAAAAAAACACAAAGGGAAGACGAAAAATTCCCCCAGTGTCTAGGTATCTAGACATCTAGAGTGTCTAGATATCTTTAGCAAAATCTAAACGATACAATGTCACAATAATCTTGATGGATATTATAATTTAACAAATTAGTTTTGCAGGGGTTTTGCTGGAATTTAAATGAAGAAAATACTGCTCCACTTGCAAGCCCGATGATATTTTTCAAGAGCATGGCTGCACACTAAGCTGAGACTAAGACCAAACTGCAGCAAACCATGGTGATCCCATCCCTTCCCTATCCCCATCTCACAGTCCAGCAGCGTTGGCCGTAGCCTTTCCATCACGAGCCAGGCCGCAGCCTGGTTGAAAGCCAGGTTGTATTGCTTTGTGCAGGTTAGCCAGCCGCACACTGCCGTGGGGTCCCCACAGCCAGGCCGTGCAGCTGACGGGGAGGTGGGCGAGGAGAGGGGAGGAGAATGCCAGAGCAGGCACGAAACGCGCGGCCGTGCCGCCGAAACTTGCCCAGAAAGCAGCCGCGGCAGCCTCAGCAGAGAGGGGAAGGTCAGGACATGACGTTTTCTTAGCGGGGAGTGCTTACGTGTGATGTCTGAGTGCAGGAGCCTGAGAGCACGTCCCTGCCTCCGAGGTCAGGTACGCGCCGACACGTTGTCCAGGCTCCTTTGGACAAGTGCCCAGCAGCACCACACGGGATGAGGTTCCCTGGCAGCCTGCGCTGATGTAAACCGACGTGGGGCTGGGCCCGGGCCCACCCTCCTCCTCCTTTCCCAGCCACATGGTCCCGGCTCCTCTTTTGTGCTGGCTCTGGCACTCCTGCGCCTGGGCCGGCAGCCAGGGCTGGGTCTGGAAAA